AAATAAAATTAATTACTGATAAGAAAATTATAAAAATGTTCTTTTTTCATATAATTTTTCATAAAATTAATGCTGATAATTGAGATTAATGATGTAAATTGAGATGATTTGTGAGCTCAGATAAGAGAGTATTCTAGAAAAATTGATGATTTTTAAGATTTTCGTATATAATTTTTTTCATTTAACATGCGAAATTTAACATAAAATCTTTAATAAAATTTACAGTGAATTTTAAGTTGAAGAATTATATCAAATTTTGAAATTCTTCAGATTTTTAAGTAAAATCTATTTGCTTTTTTAATGTCTTTCAGTAAAACATATTTCTTATTTTTGATGCTCTTCGAATAAAACATTCCTTTTTTTATACTCTTCAAGTAAAACATTTTACAAATGTTCTTTTAAACAATATTTTTTCTTGAAATGATTTTACAAATTTGAAGAAGGAAGATTTTGCTGGAAGTAAGAAGAATTTTTTAAAATTCTTAAGCATACAGATAAGCATACCTTGTATGATAAAATTCACAAAATTCTATATTTATTTTTATTTAATATATAAAAATACTTCTTTATTTTATACATTCTTAACCATTTTACTGTGTTCGAATTTACTAATCAATACGAATAATTTTGTGAACATCCTCCATTAAAAAATACGAAACGTTTTGATGATCTTCCTTCCCATTCCATTCCAAACTTTTCATGCCTTTATTATGTTTAGGCATTTAAAGCTTGTTTTATATTCGAATAAAGTAAAAACATTCTTTTAATATTTATAATTTTACTCATACAATAATAAAAAAAATCTACACTATTTATTTTATTATAACATAATAAAATAAATGTAAATATATAATACAACTTTTTAAACTTTAAATATGTTCTTATACTTAAATGAAATTTTCATAAAATTGTTTAAATTAATTGCTTAAATTCATTATTTAATTTTATATAATCAATTTATTTAGTTTTTTTAAAGGGGGATTATAAAGTTTGTACAAAAATTTATTTATTTTTTTGCGAAATTTTTAAAATATTTTTTGTACTTATTTTTAGAAAAATACAAAAAAAAAATCTTTCACATATTTTGTGTGCTGAAATTTTCAAAATTTCTTTTATATATAACATTTTCTGTAAGATATAAAGTTCTGCAGCATCCTTCACGGAACATTTACAAACTCCTTTACTATTTTTTTTAAGTTCAAGTTCCTCAATTTTGATATATTTTTTTATAGAAAATTTGAAAAGTTTTTAATTTTTTTTAATCGTAAAATTTTATTTTAAAAATAATAACTATAATAATTGCAGAATTGTTTCTTAATCGCTTTATAATAATACAAGTTAAGCAGATGATATAATTTTAAAAAATAAATTTTAAGTGTTTTTATGGAGATAATATGAGGTTTTTTTAAATATTTTCAATGAATTTTGTAGAGTTATAATTTTTTTTACTGTTTGTAATGATTTCTATGGAAATAATTTAACAATTTTAATGATATTTTTACGCCAATTCTGTAAGATTTTTTGTTTTCTCAAAAGATTTTATGAAGTATTTTGAGTATTTTCAATGCCTTTTATTAGATAAAATATATATTTATTTATTTTAAAACATTTTTATGAAAAAATAATGTGAGATTTAAACATATTTTAACTTTTTTTGCATTTTAAAATTGGATAAACGAAGAAAAAAACTAATTTAAATACACGAAAAACTAATAAAGAAAATCGTCGGAAAAATATTAAAATCAAACTTTTGAGTATTTGTACTGAAAAATGGAAGCAATTTGAAAGGAAAATATGCAGGAAACATTATTTTAAAAGCTATTTAATCAGGGAAAAAAATCGAGTAAAGTAGTCACATCATGAAGTGGACTGTCAGAAAATTGTAAAATTCATACTTGGCGTGCTTCGGTATTATGTTACAAAATTGTTCGATTGCCGATATGGAAGTTGTTAAAAGTAGAAAGAGGGAGAGACTGGTAACGCTAAAAACAGATACGATGCAAAATAGATGTCATTAACTAGATAAGAATGTGGTAGAATGATGCAACAATCGATGATTGTCCACAGCCATCAACACTTTAAGCATCTGACAAGCATCCAAACTCATTTGTGGTGAAAGATCTCCTCCCCATACCGTTACTATAGTAACAAATATTATTTGGTCTTCTCACTCTTTCATCTTTATTGATGTTTTGACGCTGGGACAAATAGAATGTGCCAGAGTTTGTTATCTGTTCTTTGATAGGAAACTGTTTCCTTAAATATTTCTATAATTGTTATGTTTATACGTACTCGACGTGTATATAAATAGCGAATTTTATGATTTATAAACTGGCTTAAAGCCAAATTTTCAATTAAATTTGGCTTAAACAACATTAAAAAATAAGATTTCTACTTGATTTCACAGTGTAATGCTATTTTAAATAGGACTTATAACTGTTTTCTCTGTTAAAGAAGACATTTTAAATTTTTTTACTTTGTTCTATAAAATTTAATTAATATTTATGTTTTTATATGAATAAAATATAATTCTTAAATTTGTAGTTGAAATTACGGAAAATTGAAAGCAGTGATTCTGAGGTTGAGAGAGGCCCGAGTTACTTCTCTTTTGAAGGCCCTAGCATGTTAAAAGAAGCATTAAACATCGAATTATATATTTTAAATAATAAAATTTGACTGAAAATAGTGCGTTTTTTGTTAATATATTGTATCAAAATGAATTATGTGTAATATCTTTGAGGCCTTCATAAACGTGAGGCCCTCATAAACGTGAAGCCGAATCAAATTAAGTTAACTTTGACCATTTATTTAGATATTAATGAATGTAATAACTTGAATTTTCAATTAAATTTATCTAAATTCCGATTAAAAATTTCAACTTTTCCCGATTCAAAATCTAAATTTTAGGGAGATCATTTTCACGATAAAAAATGTAAATTTAAATAAAATTTGTTAATTAATTCAATATTATAAGTTATTAAAAGGAATTTATCAGTTTTTTTCTAACTGAATAACAAAATTTCACTATAATAATTTAGAAAATAGTTTTTTTTAAGTCGTTTAAACAGTGTTAATTACACAGTCTTAAGAATAAAGAGAAAAGAATTTATGAAAGTTAATACTTCAGTAAAATTTATATTTAAAAAAATATGCAATTTATTAATATGAAAAAAAATTTCTTCATTCTTAAACGTGCTTCAGTCGTAATTTTGATACGTGATCTCCTTTCTTCTTCCATAAAAAGTCTTCGTATGAACACGACACCTACTGATACGTGACCTCTTTTCTTGAAAATGACGCTACTACATATAACTANAATGAATGTAATAACTTGAATTTTCAATTAAATTTATCTAAATTCCGATTAAAAATTTCAACTTTTCCCGATTCAAAATCTAAATTTTAGGGAGATCATTTTCACGATAAAAAATGTAAATTTAAATAAAATTTGTTAATTAATTCAATATTATAAGTTATTAAAAGAAATTTATCAGTTTTTTTCTAACTGAATAACAAAATTTCACTATAATAATTTAGAAAATAGTTTTTTAAGTCGTTTAAACAGTGTTAATTACACAGTCTTAAGAATAAAGAGAAAAGAATTTATGAAAGTTAATACTTCAGTAAAATTTATATTTAAAAAAATATGCAATTTATTAATATGAAAAAAATTTCTTCATTCTTAAACGTGCTTCAGTCGTAATTTTGATACGTGATCTCCTTTCTTCTTCCATAAAAAGTCTTCGTATGAACACGACACCTACTGATACGTGACCTCTTTTCTTGAAAATGACGCTACTACATATAACTAGATATATATCATTTTATAAAATACTTTATGTAGTTATCATTTCTGCTTATATAAGTAGCATTTTAACAGAATGACACTGTTGTAAATACAGAACAACAACGTTTGCAAGAGATGTTTCGTGAGATCTAACAAATGATGAAGAAAGTCAGAAAGTAAGAGTAATCCCCTAAAATTCCATCTTAGTGTTGTTCTGTATAGTGGAAAGGGTATTAGAATTTTAGGGGGATACACACTCTCTCTTACTCAGATTTAGGAAGCTGATAAGCCGGAAAGAATCCTAAAAATCAAGACACAAATTTTAAGAAAAATCTCAGAAAATTCATTTCTTATTTTTTCTGAAACAATTCTCCTATTTATGATAAGAATTTTTTACTATTTTGAAATAAGTTATTCAGCATAAGTTGGCGAATTTTATCGTTCAGCAGAAAAAGAACGCTGTTTTCACTTTTATCCGCGAATCTAATTGTAAAAAAAATCTATCGATTTTTTTAGTTGAAGAGGTAGAAAATATATCAAAAATCCGGTTGATTCGATGCAGGAATCGACTTTTATTCTGATATTTTATTGCTATTTTCAGGTAGAAAATGCTTATATATTTCTGGATCAGATGTACAGATTGAGATCTTTTATTCAAGAACAAACTGTTGCTCTAGATTCTTTCAACTTCTTAGTAATTTAACGAAAAATAATTTAAAGTAAGTGACTTGTTTTGAAGAAATATAAAGGTAGAAAAGGTAGAAAATATCAAGAATTTATTAGATTTTATGCCAGGAATCCATTTACTTTGACTTTTTGAGGTAGAAAACATGCTTATCTCATGGATCATATCTACAGATTGATGAAAATCGTTGTTGAAAAACAAACTGTTGCTCTAGATTTTTATTCTTTTAATGTAATAAACAACAATTTAAATAAGATAAAAAAGAATTGTCTATCTTACTTTATAGATAATTAATTTATATTAACATAAAATGCAAAATTTAATCGCGATAATTAAGTTAAATTTAAAAAAAGGAAGAAAAACTCTTAAACAACTCATTTACTTAATGAGGCGAGCTTATTTGCATAATTAACGGGATACAACTTTTCTCATAAGATAACTATATCTTAAAGGAAGAAAATATGGAACAATAATGATGTAAAGAGATTCACATGCAGTTCGGCGTTGAAGTGACAGACAAATTGATGACATGTTTCTCTATCGCACACCACTAGTTATCTTGAAACTAATCGTGCTTGCTGATGATGGTAATTAACGCGTTGTTGTAAATGCTTAGTTAAATGATGTTACCAAAAATTCCGAGTTGTGTAGATAAATGTTAGTAGCTTGTTTAAATGTACAATCTTCAACTGTGTACACAAAGCGATTGTTAATATACCAGTATCCTTCATTCTTAATAAGCTACGTTCTTTATAAAACTGTAAAAATATGGCTTAAAATATAAATTAATTAACAATATATCAAAGGTTATTTATTATTTTTAATTAATGACATTTTAAATTTAAAATATAATTAATTAGATGTAACCTATATAAAATCGAAAAAATGATACACAAAAAAAGCATTAAATTTTAATATCTTAAATTAATTGTGCATTTTTAAGTTAAAAATCATCATTTTTACCATAATTTTATTATTTTTAAATAATTAAATGTGTGCCTTTATTCTGCTTTGTTTGCCTTTATTCTGTCTTAATTTTGACGTATTTAACATGTGATTAGTGTGAAAAATATACAAAACTCTTAGGAAAACAGCATCTCAGTTGTAGGAATTGGGAGAGATTTGTATTAATTCCGATAGAATTAGTATTTATTAGATTAGATGATCGAAGAGCTTTTCTATTAGTATAAGAAAAGTAGAAAGAAAGAGTCATCCAATCCTACTAAGAACTAGTTGTCTTCCATTAATGTTGCTTTGCTTGATCATTAGTTAGAAAATTTTCTTTTTTCCCCTCCTAAATACTTTATATTTCAAGGATACTGTTATTTAATTTATTATCTAGAAATTTAATAATATTTTTCTACCTCCAAGAACATTCGAACATCATTTCTTCTTCTCTTGAACGTTAGAAAATAATTCTCTTCTAAATGTATTTTTCCGTAAAAATAATTTTAAAAAGAAATTAATATTTACCAATTTTATACTGAAAAAATGTTTTATTTATTTTTCAGCGAAAATTGCCATTGGACTTTTTTAAAAATTGAAATAAATATTCATTCCTGTTTAGATGCGTGCAACTGCAGGTATTTTTGATTTAAGTTTTACAACTGAGTGCATTAAAGTAGTTTATTTTATAAACAACTCTTGTGGATGGTAATTTTTTGTTTAAGAAAAACAAAAATAATATTACTGTATTCTTTAAAAATATATACAACTTCGAGTAACGCAAGCGGATTTTAAATTAATTATAAAAATATTTATGATAAAAGTCTGAATGCATGCATCTGAATACCAAGAGAAGTTTAAGTTGTTCTCGTTAAATAAAATTATATATGTATGTATTGTTTAAAATAATAAAAAGAGCATTATATAAAGTAATTTTGCATAAAGTTATATAAATTAAATTATAACTTATAGCTTACTTTACAAATAAACGAAGCATCCCTTCTTCGGTAGGTAATGTAGCCAGAAGGAGAATGCTGCTTCCATTTGCTCTATGTCACTCAAGAAGGTTGTATTCGTGTACTAAAATCGACTAGTCAGAACCATCAGAGTGACCTTTATCACCCAGAGGCGATGGTTAGCGTGTACAGAGCATCTAGCTAAAATGATGCGATGTACAAGTTCATTAGGTTGTAACTTGGGACTTGAGGCGCCTGGATGTCGTCATTCCTGTCCGACACTAAAGTCAGACAGTGAAACGACATTTACAGGCGACGTTATTTTCTTATATTGAATAGATATTGAAATTCTCTTTCCATTCTATTGTTATAACAACTCGCTTTAGTTATAATTGTTTGACAGTTTGATATTTGAAATTTTTATTGTTTACCATGAATTTAAAATTCAAATTTCCGATCTTCTGCATTTCTATTCAATCTAAAGTATATATCGAGTTTAATTTAATGCGTTTTTATAATTAAGATTCAAGATAGTCACGATCTATGCGATTACTTAAGATATTGTTAATAACTAAGAGTTATTTATCAATTTCAATATAAAATTATTCAAAAATATGCAACGTTGTATGCAAATTTCAACGCAAAAGTTTCGATTTAAACGTACAAAAAAAATGTGTATTTTTTGTTTTTATTTTATAAAAATTGCTAAAAATGTGTTTTGTATTTAACATTTATTAAAAAATTTGTAACGAATATATATTTAAAATATAGAACTCTTAAATAAATAAATCTGTGCATAAACCAGAAAATTTATCTTTAAATTACAATTATAAGCTGTTTTTAAGTGATAAGAATCTATCACAGACCCCATCTTTTAACTCGATGCTTAAATTTTCATTAAAAATTTTATAATTTACTATCGTTTAACTGAAAAAAAATATTTAAAAAACTGTTAGATTTCTGTATACATCTTGATTTTAAATTTAAACTATTTATCAAAAGTTACACGAAAGATATAAAACAGCAAAGTAAAGCTTTAAAAATTGTATTCAGTTGGAATAAAGACTATATGATAGATTTTTCAAAGCTAACTCTTTAAAAATATTTTTAGAGGAACATCAAAAATGTTCTTTCGGCTTAATCTGAGCCAGGACTGTTGATCCTAGGCAAGAAGCCAATCGGATATAGCGGTAGTGACGTACAGGGATCGTGACTAGAAACATATATACCCCATTTCCGGTGTAGTATCCAGGTCACACAAAA